TTCTTTGAGTACAGGTCCCACACTTTACTGGCATATTCTAGACTGGGTCTTATCAGCACTTTAAAAGCTAACAGTTTAGCGTACGGAGTGGCCATTTTAAACGAGCTTGACGGAATTTGGGGAGCGTTTGGAGTTCAGCAGCAGGTAAAGGAGGGCAAGGTATCAAGATACGAAGAAAACACGCCAATAAAATAAACCATATTTGCCAAGATACCAAAATTGTTCAGACATAACTAATTAAGGACCACACACAAACGCCTAACACAAAAAAATACACACTCAACTTCTGTTTATAACATTCCACAGTGTACAACAATTTCTAAAATAAAATACGGTTTACAAAGAAATAGAAAAATTGCGCACACACAGCCGCCTTCCGAGTTATAGAAAAATACAACCTTTTGATAATAAAGCAAACGCTTTACAACAAATCTTTTTTTTATAAAAAAAGCAAACATATTCATTTATGCTCACCGTTCGACAGATTTATAGTACGTGCATCAATAATTATATTCTTCCCATATAAAATATATATTATTATTATTTGTAAGAAAATGGTTAAGTAATCATGGCGGCCTTTATGTGACTGACTGATGAGTGTAATTAATACGAGGTCGGGGTATGGCCCCTTTTTTGAAAGGCGCGTGTTGACGCGGTGAAAATTATCGCAGAGCTTCGCCATCGCAAAAAAAATGGTCAGAAGATGATGTGCAGAAACTATGCGGAAGCCTATAGTCATACATCTTTTTAGCAGCAATTACTTTATATTGGGCAAATAGGCGCTTTGTATGAGCCATTAAGTGCTTATTATCCATATGACGAAGCAATTATTTGAGTAACTCAAGCTTTTTAGTTTATTTGTGTAGTTTTCCTTAAAAAACATGAACAATATTGACGTAGGATTGAAATAGCGAGCAATAAATTATTTAACTTTCTGGGAGAAGAGAGCGACGCAGGGACATAATTTCAATAATTTTGGACATCTATTTTACGAGACAATCTGTATGATGATTCTACAAAAGATGCTACAACAAAAACTATTCCGAACGTTTTATGACTTGTTTAAGAATTTAAACTGTGTAGAACCTATTGTAATATTATTGTCAGTAGCAAAACCCTTGATTTTCGGTGGAAACACAAATGCTTTTGTTTTCTGGATATTGATTTTAAAGAGACCATGAAGTGATTTTGAAATCGAATTTCATCCACCGCACGTCGTAAAAGGTGTGAAAACAAAAACCATAGCACAAGACTAGAGCGCTATAACATTTCGCAATAGAACTTTGAAAAGAAAACCGGACCCTTTTGGAAACAGCCTAGTTTTGTCGTTCTGCGCTGTTTTACCTACATAATGTTTAGCCTATACCAACTAGCCCAGCTTTCAACTTTGGGACTCTTTCATGCTTACTTTCTTTCTCTCGAAAGCTCTCTGCCTTTTTACTGCGATGCATCCGCGGTGCCACGACACATCAGCCAAAAAATGCATCGTCTATTAGATCAGAGCCTACCTTCCCAGCATCGGGATCATAAACAATACATTGCCGGAAAATGCTTCTTAAGAGCAGTTCTGTTAAAGAATAATCTGATCCACATTTTGCTGAATAACTAGCGTTGTGACGGAAATAAGCGAATTTCATAACTCTCAGAGTTATGCGCCATCTGTCGTGTGGTAAACGAAGCGAGAGAAAGATCAGACTGTTCCTGCGCATAGCCGCCCGTCTGCTGAAAAAACATGGTGTCGATAGTGATGATCGACGTGATCGGCGTGGTGGGAGCTCCTCGTTCCGCGTAGATCGCTATCCTTGACTTAATTCTCGTCGCGTACCGCAATGGTAACCCAGCACGTCCTGGAAGAGAAGATCCATCTTCTCGTGCGGGGGTGTTGTGGCGGCACCCCCAAGACACCAGAAACGCTCGTGCCGTCGTTTTTGTTTACTTCGACTAGAGTGGCGCTTTCTTATCACTTGTGCCCTCGAACATCACCGAGACTCTTTTATTTTGCTCATTCTATGCGTGTGGTCAAGATCGAAATATTACTGGTCTGTACTGGATTTAAAGGCGTGCATGAAGGGTGCGAACTTTTACGCGTTTTCATCACGCCAGAAAGGTGATTAGTATTAGCATTCTTTAAACGATCGCAACGTCTATCTGATCACGAAACTATATTTCTACGTCTCTATTTCTCTGATAAGATAAAACTGTCTTGTAATTGTATAGAAGGCGTGTGGCGAGATATGTACTATCAGCTAAGCCGTGCTGTAAGGTGGTAATCGTCGAAGATGGCATACTGCATTTTTTTTCTCATCCACACTGTTTGGATGAAAGCCTATCCAGACTTTATATCAAGCCTATCCAGACAAAATAAAAGTCAATAAATCTTGAACCCATAGAAAACTGTGTGCATTTTCTGCTGCGCTAGTGAGTCGCAGTGCGTCCCCTTCTTTTTAGAGATACCGCGGAAACGGCTGACGGCGGCGGAGAAGCAGCTGTCACGCTGACGACCTGCTGCGCTTCGTACCGGCGTATGGGGACCAGCTCCATGCTGTCGCTGTAGTGCAAAGGATCTAATTGAATTTCTCTCAGCTGCGATGTGTCCATGGCTATCGCGGTGATGAGAGGCGCAGTTTCAGAAAATATGTTGGTTGCGTCGGCGCCACCAACGCAGTAAAACCCTGTGATAATATAAAAACCTCCCAGGCACACCGCCAGCTCGCCTCTAACGCTCCCATTCTCCCACTGCCAATGGAACTTCAGGTTCCGATGACAGAGCACGTCATGACCGTCAAAATTACGCCGCGGCTTGTTTTGCGGTGAGTTGGAAAGTAAGAAAAAAATCTTTATTTAAATAAGTCTTCGTGTGGACGCTAATAAACCGAAACGAAAACGGATGCCTGTTCGGCGTTCAGTGAACATTGAAAGTTTAATGTAAACGTTATTTGGCTAAAGTAAAAAGGGTGATTTCATGGTCTCTTTGAGGCCATTGTTGCAGGACCATGTGAGAAACTGGCTAATGATCCTGTGGCGACAACTGCAAGCTAACATTTTCCCGACCCCCCTCTTCTATACAATACAATACAATACAAAAACCATCTTTATTTACTTTGTTTGCAAATAATACAATATAAAGCCCACGTAAGCCAATGATGGCTTGTGTGTGGGACGCGACAGGAGCCTCTGCATTTTTATTGCACACATAACTAAAAATAACAAAACATACCAATATTAGTACCTATTACTGCAGTTCCACCTCCTTCTACAGCTTATATTAGTTCGCCTACTTTGATGAGTACATGTATAAACCCATCGAATCATATTGAATTAACATTTACATACTGTAAAGAAGAATAGATTCACGACTTACGAGACAATTCTAATAATAGAACACAATAACAACCTTTTATATCCTGCGTTTTCGGGGATACTCATCGGTTATACCTATTACCTTTTAAGAATCTTTTTTTCCCTGTTCAATTATCCACTTTTTTGCTATTTTTTTTATTCTAGGGGATTTTATTTCAAGTAGCTCATCGGGTAATGTATTATAAAGCTTAGGTATGTAATATTTCCTTGTGGCCTCTCCATATCTTGTTCTTACAAATGGTTCAACAAATTTTTTATTAGGTCTTAATGTCCTTTCTTTTTTATTTTCGCGCCTATATTTATTGTTGAAAAAATGCTTTATTATAATGTCATACTTCATTTGATCTCTGAAACGTAATATTCCTAATTCTTTATGCATATAATCTGAGAGATTTGTTTCTTCGCGCCGGTACCCAATATTCCTAACTATCCTTTTTTGAATAGATTCTATCTTTAGTTGTAAATACTTGGCACAGTGCCCGTAAACTGTTATTCCATACTGAAGTACGGATTTACCCAGTGAATTGTATATCATTTTAAGTATGGATCGCGGTACTAGTTCTTGGATGTGGTACATATGGGCCATTAATACCCTTAATTTTTTGCAAACCTGGTCTATGTGAATATCCCATTTAACATATTTGTCTATGTGCATACCCAGGTATTTTACATTATCAGCGTATTTTAGCGGGATGCACGAGCAGTTGTCGCAGTTCTCATCATGCATTTTTATTGGAAATTCATTTACGATTTTTTTTCTTGGATCTCTAAAGCATATTACTTGCGTTTTAGGAACATTTACAATTATTTGGTTTTTACGGTACCATTGAATAATTTTATGTATATCATCTTGTATAGTCATTGCCGCTACTTCGTAATTTCTATGTGCGTATACAATTACCGTGTCATCTGCAAATTGAAGGAGCTTACTTTTTAAGCTAACCTGTGCTATCTCGTTAACATATATATTAAAGAGTAGTGGACCGAGGACTGTACCTTGTGGTACTCCTTGTTTTACCTTAATTTCCTTGCTATATTTTGAACCTAAACGTACTACCTGAAATCGATCAGCAAGATAATTCCGAAATAAATCATATGTTTTCCCTCGAATTCCAATACTATATAGTTTATCCATTAATATATCATGATTGATTGTTTCGAAGGCCCTCGTAAAATCTATGAATAAGGCTAGAACATAATTACCGGCGTCGATGTTTTCATTTACATAGTCAAAAAAGTCTTCTAGAAGGTCACTGGTTCCTATATGTTCCCTGAATCCATATTGTGTGTTAGTTAGTAGGTTATATTTAGCGATATAGCACCTAAGAACTTTATTAATATATTTTTCCATTATATAGTTTATCACAGAAAGGATACAAACTGGTCTATAATTTAGGAATTTATTTTTCTCACCTTTCTTGTATATAGGCCGAACAACGGATGTTTTAAGCTTTTTTGGAATGATGCCGCTAGAAAATATACGATTGTACAACTGTAATAGGACAGGTTTCATTATAGTGATATGGTATTTAATATCTCTAGCCCTAATTTGATCAAACCCTGTTGCCTTATTAGTCTTTAATTGCTTTACAATTTCAATTAGATCATTGTCATCCATATCGGGGAAAAATATTGAATCATTATTTCTTATTTGATTTGGTTGTCTTTCAGTTGTCGTACAACATAAAGTTTCAATTGACTGCACATATTCTGTATTAAAACTATTTGCTAGTATCCCTAAGTCATGTTCAGGACCGAAGTTTGTTTGAATAGTGTCTTCAATCGTTTTTTTCTTTTTTCGTTGTAACAGTTGGTTTACCAAGGACCAGCATTCTGCTGTATCTTTTGTCTCAGAGAATTTGTTCCAGTAATAATTTCTTTTTGTTAATCTTATTAATGCTGTAACTTTATTCCTAATTATTCTGTTATTTTCTTTGTACTTCTTATTATTAGGAAATCTTTTCAGTAGTTGCCAAGCTTTCTTTTTTTCTTTGATCAGGTCGTCAATTTCTTTAGTTATCCATTGATTCTGTTGTTTACGTTTTTTCGTACTGCATCTTTGAGTTGACTTTGTATAAATATCATTGAATATTTTAACAATATTATCGTATAATTTTTCTGGGTTTTGTTCTTCGGCGAGAATGTTCCAGTCGATTTCTTGGATATGTTTATCGACTATTTTATTATTTATAAATGAGCCTTCAACAATTTTATTACTGTTTTGAATAAGATCTGGAATAGTTACTGCCACAAAATAATGGTCAGCCACTTTTTCAGAAATTACTTGTCCTTCGGGTTTCCCTTCCTTCGACCGCACGTGTATATGATCTATACATGACTGTGTTAGTTTCTCGCCTAATATCTCTTCTCTTGTGAATTCATATATCATTGATTCCAGTCCCGCTTGTGCCATATCATCTAGGTAATTATTTATCATTAAACTAGGTTTTGTGATGTCAAGATTAATATCCCCTACAATTATTAAGTCTGTGTCTTTGTTGTCGTTTAGCCATTTATTAATATCATCTAAAAATGTGTTTACATTACCCTGAGGTGCTCGATATAATCCTAATATAGACATTTTTTTTCTGTGGTATTCTATTTCAATGTGTAGTGCCTCCGTTGAGCAAAAGTTTACTTTTTCGTATTTGGTTATTTTCCATTTTTGATTTATCATGATCATGACACCTCCTCCTCTCTTCCCGTCTCTATTATGCGAAAATGTTTCAAAATGATCTAGAGAGAACAAGGCTTCTTCATCAGATGAAATATTTGTTTCTGATAATACAATTACGTCTAAATTGTCCAGATAAGGGTCTATCATACTGCTTATTTCATTAAAATGTTTTTTAAGACTGCGTACATTGGTGTGTAGAAGAACAAAGCAAAACTCGTTAACAGTAGCGTTTATTCTATCCCACCATTTTTCAAAAGAAAGACACGTTTGTTTCCTTTCCATGTCTAATATGGTGAATGTACTTCCCTATTCAATTTTTGCGAGGTCACTCTCATTCTCGATTCTTAGAGTCGGGTCGCCTTCTCGTTTTCGCACATACGAGCATCCTTCTTTATGCCAGATAAACTTGTACCCGAGGTGTTTTGCTTTTGTTCTGACATCAAAGAACAACTTTCGGTTTGAAGCGGTCAAGTTTTCTTCTAGATAGACGTTATCTACCTCCGCTCCACTCCTCAGTTTCTGTTTATTTTTAAGCCACGCATCTCGATCGTTTCGGTTGATAAAGCGTACTATCACCATGGGTGTTTTCTTTGTTTTTGTGGGGATGCGGTGAACTGCTTCTACGTTATGTGTGGTTAGTCTGGGCACTTCTATCTGGTCGGCGATTTTGTTCAGCTTTTCTAGTAGGTTTTCGTTCAAAGATTCGGCCAGTCCATGTACTTCGAGGTTATTTCTACGTCCGTATTGTTCCAGCTTGTTTATCTCTTTTTTTAGTTGATTCGTTTCGTCATTCTTTTTTTCGTTTTCAAGTTCACTGACCCTCTTTTTTAGATCTTTGATCTCACTGTCGTGGTCTTTTACTTTCTTAAGTAGCTCATCATAGCTGTCCGACATTGATTGCACAGACTTCTCTATGTCCATCACAGTTTGCTTCATTGTAACTAACTCATCGACTTGCTGTTTGAGTGGTGCGAGCACGCTCAACATGCTCATTATCTGAGTCAGCTGTTGCTGCACATCCAGCTTTTCGTGACTGGGCTGTCCGCCTTCAGGTGTGCTCTGAAGTCTTAATCTTGCCCCCTTACAAGTTTGACACTTCCATAATTCTTTAAATCCCGGTCTCTTCCCTCGGAGGGCGATTTCGGTTACTCCTGAGCAAGGTCCTAAGTGGTACTTGGAGTGACATTCATTACATTCTAATACACTGTCTTCTTTTCTTATGGAAGTTTTACAGTGCAAGCATAAGTCTTCGGTATCGTCGTCTTTCGGCATTTCTGTGACACCTCAATCGGTAACCAGTAATGGGCAATCAACAGTCGGCAGTCGGCGACGGGAGTTGAGTGTTTAATTTAGGTAATGAAAAAGTTCCTACCTGCAGAGTCAGGTTGTTATTGTCTGCAGATAACTCCGTCGCCGACTGCCGCTGCCGATGCCGTGTCTGCCTCTTTTGTAGACGGGTCCTTGGTGCCGCCTCTGTCGTTGGCGTGGGTGCTGTCGCTGTCACTTGCTGTGACCAGTTGCTTCCCTCCTCGTTCTGCAGCAGACGATGGCTTGTCCGAGGGAGGCTTGTCCTTGTAGGCGTACTTTCCTCGGCCGTGGAATCTGCAGAGTCAGGTTGTTATTGTCTGCAGATAACTCCGTCGCCGACTGCCGCTGCCGATGCCGTGTCTGCCTCTTTTGTAGACGGGTCCTTGGTGCCGCCTCTGTCGTTGGCGTGGGTGCTGTCGCTGTCACTTGCTGTGACCAGTTGCTTCCCTCCTCGTTCTGCAGCAGACGATGGCTTGTCCGAGGGAGGCTTGTCCTTGTAGGCGTACTTTCCTCGGCCGTGGAATCTGCAGAGTCAGGTTGTTATTGTCTGCAGATAACTCCGTCGCCGACTGCCCACACTGCGGCGACCGTCCAAATTTTAATCGCATGGTCTGACAGTGCCAGCTTATTGCCGCCATCCCACCCAATCGCAATCCCACCCCTACCTTTTGGGAGGAGCGGCTGATAGATGACACGGCCACTGGCCAGCAATCGCTGGTGGTCCGCGCCAAGGCGGTCGCCGCCACAAATGGGGCGCCATACTAGGGGCTCCACCCGATGTTTAGTCACACGTCGCTACAATAAATTTTATTGATTCATTCACTGGCTAACGGCATTATGTGCATCGACTATTAATTCTTCAAAAGTGGTTTCACCAAGAACCAGGCTTGTATCGTCGGTGTATATTATATATTTTATTTGTTATTATTAATTTTGACGATGTCGTTAATGTATATACTAAATAAGATTGGCTCAAGAATAATTCGCTGGGATAACTGGCGTAACCAGAAGATATCTTCGGGGGGTGTTATAGTGTGCCTGTGCGATCACAATACATATACAGGGTCTTTCACGAAAGGTGTCGATAATGCGAAAACTACGCGTCGCCAAAAAAAAAAAAAAAAAGAGAAAAATACTTCTGTCGTTTTGATCTTGGCCCAGGAGGCTATTTAGGAATATTAATAAAGTTAGGGATAAGTACGTTCTCAATTATTTTTGCGTAATTAATTTTTTATGTTGTGTTTAAGGGCATGGTTTCAATTAGAAACTTGCCCAGTATCATCTATAAACACTAAATCAACAAATCGCAGAACGATAGAAGTACGCGCAGCATTTTACGGCTTTCTAAAAAACGGCACAAATTCAACTGGTTTTTAAGTTTTATTTGCTATTGGAGCGCATCTCGCCCCCGTCGGCACCACGTCCCTTGGAGAAATAGTGCAACCTATCTCTGCTGCACTGTCCTTGCGCGACGCAGCAGAGGCTGGTAGCACTATTTCTCCACGGGGCGCGGTGCCATCGGGGCCGAGATGTGCTCCGATAGCAAACCAAAACTTAAAAAACACGTCAAATCTGTGTGGTTTTTCAGAAAGCCGTAAAATGCTGCGGGTACTTCTATCGTTCTGTAATTTGTTGGTTTAGTGTTTATAGATGTTGCTGGGCAAGTTTCTAATTAAAACCATGCCCTTCAACCAAATATAAAAAGTTAATTGCGCAACAATAATTAACAACCTACTTATCCCTAACTTTATTAATTTTCCTAAATAGGGCCGTGCCATAGGACCAATACGCCACAATAATTTTTTGGTGCGATGCGTTGTTTTCGCAATATCGAATTTTTCTACCTTTCGTGAAGTATCCTTTATATATTTATATATGCCGAAATCAAACTATACTTTTTTGTCTGCGCCTTCGTAACACTATTGTGTCTATTACAAAATAGACGCTATGCTTCTAGCACATTGGTTGGGAGCAGGGAGGGGGGGTGGCAGAGAGCGGAGCAAACTTCTTAGTTAAACTGGCGCTTCTTTGTAGGAGAGCTCGTGTAAATGTAATTCTTCAATCTATGAATATTGCAAAGAATCTTAGAAGAAGCTCACACTGTTAGAAAGTTCAATTATGTACGAACGAATCTGCAAAAGGAAGATCAACGAAAGTGATTAACTTGCGCTTTCACATTTGCTGTATGTATAAGATCCTTCTATTCTCTTATGTTACATTCAAAAATTTGTCCATCGTAAGTTTTCTGGTTTTATTGGTTAAGAATCACAATGTTTTCTTTGCAATTGAGTTCTTGGAGTCTTTTGTGCACTTGCTTGTGTATACATGCGTTGTCACCAACAAAAAAGAAACTAAAGAAATGTAGTCCACGTGATACAGTGCCACGACACAGTAGTGCAAAGCACGTGTTAAAAAACAAGCAAGTCATGGAGCTAGAAAATTCATCTCTTTGCCTAATAGGGCCACCGAAGGAGTGCTTACCCAGTCCTTCGGTGTTACCGCACAAATATCTTTGCAGTATAGTTGATCTAATAAAAGTCTGTTGTTGACGAATTCGAATGCCTTAATTTATAAACATGCCAAGGTGAGCGATCGATTTCTAAATTTTTAAAAGGGTTTTTTTAAGCAATGCAGAATTTGTAGGCATTCCCTTACGAAAACCGAATTTACAATTAGTTATCAAAGTGTGCTTATTAAAGAAAAAGTTTAGTCTACTGGAAAAAAATTAAAAATAATCGTCTCAAGCCCATTGGGAAAAATTGAAAATATGGCGATAGGTCCCTGGTTTGACATTTGATTTCGATATTTTTTAAACATCACAAAAACGTTAGCTTATCTTAGCTTACGGGAAAATGTTCCTGATGACGTAGCAAGGTAAAAAATGAGCACTAAGCAAGGTACGATGTTCCTACGAATATATTTCTGAGGCCTAACTTCTATTTCATGTGTTTCGCGGCTACTACTGTTGCTAAGACGCGTCAATGTGTCATGTACTTCGTGCTCGTTAGTTTTCTTAAGAAAATGTATCTCGTGTACCGTATGTTCAATAAATATGGAACCCTTGGCATAATGTGTTCATGAATTAAAACTTGCGAACGCTGTGTTAAAATGTTCTGCAAGCCACGTCCCCGACAATGTTTTGCCATTATCAAAAAGTTTGCCTAGATAATTAGGCTGTCTGCTGAGGCGTAAATGGTTATTTAGAAATCGCCAAGCTATTTCTGTTCGTTTTTTACTACTTACATTAATGAGCTGCGTATCTGCGTATCTTGCTTAGCCTCTTAGTAACTCAGATGTCAGGCGGTTCCGAAATTGCTTGAAGATGGCCAGTTTACCACAATTTTTCGTCAAGAAAATGACCTTATGCAAATGATCCCTCTTTTTAGCTTTCTGAAGTGCAGAGGTAAGATCGAGGGCTTCAGGATACTTTAGCAAAGGGCTTCGTGCCGCAAGGAAAATTTAAGCAATAAGCTTTGCTGACGACGTCACTAAAACTGTTGCACGCCTCGTCGCACTCATGTTTTAGAATAAACTGGTTTCAGTCAGTGCTTAAAGTCTCTGTCCTGAACGGTTCCAAATTACAGTTGGATATGTTCTGAAATACACATGAAATTTTATTTGGACATTTTACGAATGTGGTATCTACACACGTTATAAATAAATCTGATCACTAATGTCACTAGGGATTGTGCCATCGTCATTAACATCTTCACGAATTTTTGTGAAAAAAAAGTCAAGGGGGATTTAGAAGGAATATTTATATGGTGGGAGACTGGATCACAATCTTGAAACCATTGGAGGTTAGGATTGGATTTAATTGCGAAAAAGTGTAGAGTGTTACAGAGTATTTACATTGAAATCTCCTTCTAGGAAGAGGGATAATTTGCGGATATGAAGTCAAGATATGTATATAAAAGCAAACAAAACTTATTGATACACGCTAATGGCAGCCTATTTACTACCGAGAAGATTACATTATTACTTCTCACTGATGGTATTTCCAGGTCATCGGTCACTTCAGTATAAGTTTTCAGAAATTCACACCGCATGTTTTAACGAACGTAAATAGAAACACCTCCCCCGCGTTTCTGATGCAGATTTAAATAAAAATTGTTATACCCTTTCAATGCACACATATCATCGTCACCATGATGACATTCTTTAGTGAACATAAAAAAAAACACGTAAAACTGTGTTGGAAAATATTAAATTAAGGCACCTAATGCATCCATTTTATTTATGAGAGTGCGCACATTGGAGTTGAAACGCTGATAAACTGTTTCCAGTTTCTAAACATTCTATTTCATATGATGGCAAAATAACGTCGTGATACCGCTTTGCCATGTGTACTTCTAGCTTACTTCAGCTCCTAGCGAATTGTGGCAAGATTATCTTCATCAACAAGTTGAACACCCTCTGTTCTCTGTTCTTATTTTTCTCTCTAGATAGATTACAATACAGAGAGTGTCCAACTGCTCGATCGGGGTCACGTGGACTATGTATGGGCCGCGTTCACAATGCGAGCTGCGAGGAGGAGAGAATCACGACCGTCGTCTGCAAACGTACCCGGCTTTCCACCGGCTTTACTACTCGCCTGGTGACAACGCAGCGCATGCGCACTTCCGACCAATCTCCGCAATAGGTGTACACCCGCCGGCAGTATGAAGGTGAACACCTTACCTGGTTTCTTGCCGGTTTTACGGATCCCTAAAGCTATATTAACTTTCAGCGACTAAAATGGTACGTGGCTTTGGGTCTAAACTTTGCGTTCTCGCCCTCTTCTGGAACAGAGCTTGTTTCAAAACTTGCAGGAGCGTCAAAAACAAGAAGGGGGCTGCTAACCTTCATATCGCTCACGGGTATACATATCTTTAAATTTCAAACGCTTCTCAGACTTTGAGGTGTACCCCCTCTTTAATGAAGGCTGTCGTCTAGCTCTATACGTTCTCCGTGGTTCCTCTATGACTGACCGCTGCCGGCGCTACGACCTCATGAAACCACTCGAGCAGCGCCAAATGTACGTTGCGACAGCGCTCATTGCCCTTGTGCGTTTCATTTCGCCGACTAAACCAACCATATACCAGTCAATGCTCCGCAATCCCGCGCTTCTTCTGTACGCCATTGGTTTGGCCATGGGGATAGCACACCCACGTAGGCAGCAAGCACGATGACTATGCACTTTTGGCTGTAAGTTAAACGCAGTATAGGGTGCCTATTCACCGATGTTTGTTTGCAAACAAGCTCACTACCACCCCCTATCGGCGGACCCCGGCGGGCTTCCGGTTTTCCTCTTCTTCTCCATTTTTCCCTCCTCCTCTTGTTATTTACACTACTTACAATGCACTAATGTTCTTACAAACATACTACAGAAACTTCTCTGAAGGAAACTCTTCTTACCCGACCGCTGTGCGCTGCTGAAGAATATATAAATACACTACCGAAAGTCTACTCGGGCACCAAATACTGTGGCGCCCTCGTGGTATAAACTCCCACCGAATATGGTGAATATAGACTGAAGAACCGAAGCGACGGAAACCATGGGGAGCGTTTGCAATGTAATCGCTGACAC